GGGATTGGGGCTCGCTGGGGGAGGGGGGGACGGGGGGACGGGAGGTAGGAACTGACGTGAGTCCAAATACCTCCCAGGAATTTGATCTCTGCCCTTCATGTAGATGGGAAAAAATGTAGCTCAGAGAAGTTCTTACTAGTTTATATCCTGGCTGGTTCCAAAAAGGGTAGGGTAGGAGGCAGCTTACAAAAGCCAACCATTGAGAGAAATAAAATAAAAAAGGAAAGTAAAATTAAAATATCCCATAAAGAAATGGGAATAAAAGGAGAATAAGAGTAGCCGGGGATAGGATCCACATATTACTAACGTTTGTCATGTACACAGTCCCTGGATGCTAAGTCAAAAATTTAGCACCGAGCTTCCTAATGGCCAGAGCAAAGAGAGAAACACCATCAGTGTCATAAGATAAAAATATATCCATTGCTTGGAGCCTAAGAAAGGTGAACTGATTTGCTGTGGTCTGACCCCACAGTGTTTTAGGGATCCGCTGACAATGCGTCAGGTACCAAAGATACCTGGTGTAAGCAGGGCCTGGTATCTATGGCACCCAGAACTTAGAACACGGTGTGTGCCACAGTCAAGTTAGAACAAGAAAGACACCTGTCTCCACAGACCAGGGTTGAAGGAATAGTAGTCTTGTAGTCAGGTTCTGGTTCATTCTCTGAGGACCAGGAAGCCACAGGACATAAAGGAGGAGGGCTTCACCTGGAGCCTGTCAGGCACTGGCTACACTGCCCTTCCCATGGGTACAACCCCAGGGCCTGACCCCCAGTTCATTCTCTTTAAGGATAATCACACTTCAGATCCTAAAATGGGCCAGAGTCAGGGGCCCTCCTAGCCCTTATTACCACAACTAGGGGAAGGAGAGGCAGCTAGAGAGGCTGGCACAGCCCCCCACATTCCTGCCCTCCTGGGGTTCCTCACCAAGGGTAGGCCAGGGCTGGAGGGGGAGCTTCCTCATAGAGCAGAGGAGATCACAGACCATGTCCCCTCTGGCTGTCTCCAGGCAAATCGGTGGGACCAGGAGCTCAGCTGTCTGTGCCTTCTCTCTCAAGGACATCAAGCGTGTCTTTGAGGGGAAGTACAAGGAGTTGAACAAAGACACTTCACGATGGACTACTCTTAGGGTCACTGATATCAGTCCTCGACCAGGCAGCGTGAGTACCAGCCCCCACACTGAGCAAAGTCCCCTCTTCCCCCCAGAGACACTCACATAATGCACCTATCAAAGTACCTGTCGTGGCATAATAGATGCCCAACAAATGTTAGTTCTCCCCCCGGCCACCACCAGTTCTGTCTGCTGAGATATATACTGGGTCCAGCTGCCCGCATTCCTCAGGTGTCCAGCCCCACCCCCCACACAGAGCAGCCCCTTTTACCCCAGCTTCGTACACATCAAATAAGGCAGGGATCTCCCTGAGAAAACACAGGAGCCTGCGTTGTGCCAAGGACTGTGTTGGCATCTTCACCTGCATTTCTTATTTAACTTTTTAAAAAATCAGAATTGTCTATGTACACTATTTAAAGAACCATACAGATTTACATGTGTTGGTTACCAAAAAAGCCCTATTTCCCTTCCTAGAGAAAACCAACTTCAATTTTTTTTAGCTGATTCTTCTGGTATTTATCTCCAAATCTCTAAATAATATAGTTTTATTGTTACGTCTTGCTGTTTCAGCTTCAGGCAGTATCTACTGCATTCCCATTCTAAGAGGTGAGGATTTACCTGTGTCCCCGCCCCCCTCCCCCCAGTCGTGTGCTGGAGCTGGCTTTCAGCAACTAGCAAGAACTCTTTTTGCAGTTCTCTTTCTAAATTCGTGTCCAGTGGCATTGCATTGGTAACTTGCAATCAACCATGTGGCAGTATAAACCATGGAAATCAGCAAACACTACAAATCAGGGCTCCCCTACCCCCACTCCAGAGCTGCCTTACGAACACACCAGTGCACCCGACCCTCATCTTCCAACAGTTTTATAGCAATTTTGGTTAGATCAAGATTTATATTATTATTCACCAGTGAGCCAAGTAGTGAGCCCTGATTGCTTCTCCTTTTGCATTTAAAAAATTTTCCCTGGGGTTAGTAGTGATTTTGATGTTTCTTTGCTTGCTTTGTTTTCTAAACTCTTATCTTTCATTTAACCCCAGGCTTTTTTTTTTTTTTTAAGTAAAAGAATTTGTTCGTGAAACAGTGAGACAGAGAGGGGCTATTCCACAAACAGAGCAGCCAACTCCAAACTCTTACTTAATTATCTGAATCTCTTCTGAAGACAGACCCCTTCGACGTTCTAACAGTTTCATTCCTGGAACTCCTCCCTGTCCACTGCCGTCTAGACTGGAGGCCCCCTGCATTCGTGCACAGCGGCCACCCTGGCATCTCCCCTCCTCGTCATTCTGGGCATTGCCCTTGCCCCTTCCTTGTGATGATGTCATGTTTCTTGCATCTCATGGCTTCTTCTTCTTCTTTTCTATCTTATTTTAGTGGAGGATGGTCCCTGTAGATTCCTAGATAGGGATATATAGCGGTAAAATCTTTCGAGATCTTGAGTGTCTAAAAATGTCTTTTCTTTTTTTGAAGATGTCTTTATTCTACTTTCACATTTGGTAGTATGGCCAGGTACATGTAATTCTAGACTAGAAGACTGAAGGCTTGCTTATTATCTCCTAGCTTCCAGCGGTGCTGTTGAGACGTCCAAGGCTCTTCTGATGATCCCTCACTCTTTGAATGTCCCCTGGTTTTTCCTCACTGGAGTCTTGTAAGGCCTTCTCTTTGTCCCTGGCTATTCTGAAAATTTCACACTATTGAGCTTTGATGAGACTCTGTTCATTTATTGTGCTGGACATTCAGTTTGCCCCTTCAGCCTGGAAATTTAGTTCCTTCAGTTCTAATAAGTTTTCTTGAACTATTTCCTCCTATTTCATTCCACAAATATATATATGTAATTTTGTTGTTGTTGTTATTAATCCTCACCCGAGGATATTTTTCCATTGATTTTTAGAGAAAGTGGAAGAGAAAGGGAGGGACAGAGAGAAACATCGATGTGAGAGAGACACATCGATTGGTTGTCTCCTGCACGCACCCCAACTAGGGCTGGGGAACCTGCAACAGAGGTACGTGCCCTTGACCGAATTGAACCCGGGACCCTTCAGTCCATGGGCCGATGCTCTATCCACTGAGCCAACCGGCTAGGTGGTCAGGGCTCAACAAATACTTTTGGAGCCACATGTCACTGCTCTAGGCACTGGGGATACAGCAGTGAATAAAACAACAAGTCCCTTCCCTCATGAAGCTGACATTCTAATGTTAGAATGTTTTTTCTCTCTTCTTTCTGGACCTCCTGGACTGGTCCTCTAACTTTTAAAAACCTTTTCTATTTCCCAAAGCTTTAGTTGTGTTCTACTTTTTGGAAGAGTGTCACAATTTTACCTTCCGATCCTTCTACCAGACTTTAAATTTCTGCTAAAATATATCATTTCTGCCCTAGCTGGTTTGGCTCAGTGGATAGAGTGTTGGCCTGTGGACTGAAGGGTCCCAGGTTCGATTCCTGTCAAGGGCACATGCCTGGGTTTCAGACTCGATCCCCAGTAGGGGGTGTGCAGGAGGCAGCCAATCAATGATTCTCTCTCATCATTGATGTTTCTGTCTCTCCCTTTCCTTTCCTCTCTGAAATCAATAAAAATATGTAAATAAAATAAAATATATCATTTCCTAGTTTTTTCAAGCTTTAAATATCTCTTTTATAAAAATTTTCTGCCCTAGCTGGTTTGGCTTAGTGGATAGAGCGTCAGCCCATGGACTGAAGGGTTCTGGGTTCAATTCGGTCAAGGGCACGTAGTGTGTCCTTTCTTCAAGATGTATGTAATATCTGGCTGTCCTCTCTCTTCACTTATCTCTCTTAAGATGGTAATGAGCCCAGCTGTGGCTCCGTGATTGAGGGTTGACCTGTGACTTGGCAACTTGAGTTCCATTGTTGCTGCACTGAGGATGGTCAAGCTGGGCTATTTTGTTGGGGACCTTTAATGTTAGTATTTTAAAATCTTTCCTCTGGAACCTCTAGTCGGTGTTCCGAGAGCAGACTCTCCTTGTCTTTTGCTCGGAAGGAGATGGTCTGGTTCCTGGTGTCAGGGTGCCATGGGGGAAGATGGTTGGGAGTGGGGAAGAGTATCCGCCTGTACTGTGCCTGCCTGCACTTGCTGCCCCCCTTTCATGGTGGTGTCCCTCCGAACTGTGCCTGCTGATCTCCACCCAGAGGCCCGCTGTCTCCACGAATAAACCTCCAGTCTTGGTCCAGGGCATGGAAGGGACAGTCACGCAGGAACATGGGGCTGGGAGGAGATCTGCCTGCTTTTTAAACAAATTTTCAAATAATTCTCTTTACTCGGCGCCCCTCTTTAAGTCATTTCCAGAAGTGACTGGGGCCACTAATTCATGAGCTTTAGAGACTATCTTATAAATCAGATAGCTTTGGTCTACCTACCCCAAGATCGTCTGAAGAAGACTTTTTATTTCTGCTAAGTCTCTTAGTATTTGTTCGTTTGTTTCCCAACTTCCAAATGCCTTCTCTCCAGTCCTCCCCATCCCTGTAGGTTTGCCATTGTAAAGAATCCCTTTGGGAGGAAGCCAGTGTAGGTGCCTGTGCTCATCCTGGTATCAAAATGTGATGTAGATGCTATTGCCTCACTTGACACCTGAGGAAATGGAAGCTCATACAAGTGGAGGAACTTGTCTGGGGACAGAGCGTGTAGGTGACAGAATTGGGGTTGACCCTAAAACAGTGCTCTCGGATATGAAGGACAAGGGTCCTGACTAAAGGTCATAGCACAGGTGTCCCAAGAGCCCTAGCATTCTGGTGTTGGCAGGGCCTTTCGAGAACAGCCAGTCCAACCCCTCATTTTATGGGTGAGAAAGGGAAGCCCAGAATGGAGAAGAGACTCTCCCAGAGTCATGTAGCAAGTTCATGCAAAACCTTGATGAGAAACACTCCCTGCCACACCACCCTTTTATATGCTATCTTTCCTTTAATCAGTGGCTCAGCAAACATTTATTGGCACCAATGGTGTACCATGTCCTGTGCCAAGCCTCCAGCTACAGACATGCGTGGAACAGGGTTCTTGCCTGCTAAGGGCTCTCACCCTGCTTCCTGCCGGCTGCCAGGCATCCTCGATGGCGGTGAGGAGGAGGAGGAGGAAAGCCATAATGGCTAACATTTATTGAGTCCTTAATTCATGCCAATCACTGTTCTAATTACTTTTCATGTATTTTACTGTTCGTCCTCCCAGCCAACCTGTCATATATTGGTAATAGGCCCATTTTACTGTTCCGGGACCTCAGGCATGTGGAGGCTAGAATTCAAAGCCCAACCACCGTCTGGAGATGAGGAATGCCAGGAAGGAGGGAACTAAGGAGATCAGCAGAGGGGGGAGAAGGGAGGGAAGAGGCAGTGGATGGAGAAAGCTGACCTGATCTGCCTTCTTCCCCTTTCAGTGCTCGATGGGCCCCTCCTCTGATAAAGCCTTGCTCTTCATGAAGAACCATTTCCTGATGGATGAGCAGGTGGTGGGAACGCCCCTGCTGGTGAAGTCTGGTGTGGAGTACACACGACTCGCAGTGGAGACAGCCCAGGGCCTTGATGGGCACAGCCATCTGGTCATGTACCTGGGCACCAGTGAGTAGAAGGCTTCAGGACGTCCCTCAGGGGCCTGGAACTGAGGAGGGAAATCGGTGCCGTTTATACACTCATGCATTTATTCAGAAAGTGTTTTCTGAGCACCTACTATGTGCCTGGCACCCTGCTAGGCTCTGAAAATACAGTGGGGAAGCAAAACAGCTCATCCCTACCTTTTGTGAGCTTTCAGTCTGGTTGGGGAGATACACACAAGGGCTTTGGTGGCCTTAGCAAGAGCTGCTTATTTTATGGGGGAAGCCATGTCAGAGAGGTAAAGAGCGAGTGGATAGAGGGGAACTGGACACAGCAAGTACAGAGATCATTCCTTCAGGAGGCGTGGCTGTGAAGGGGAAGAGAGCAAGGGGGTGACTGGAGGAGGGTGTGGGGTCCAGCCAGCATTCTCTTTTTAAATATGGGAAATATTGTCACGATCCAGTAGGGAGAGAGAGATGGTGAGAGATGGGCAGGCGAGGGGATAATTGGCAGGTGAGGTTGCAGAGGAGCAGGAAGCCAGAGTTTGAACTCACAACCTGGGTATGTGCCCTGACCAGGAATCAATCTCAAGACCTTTTGGTATATGGGACGACGCTCCAACCAACTGAGCCAACTGGCCAGGACAGCAGAAAGAGCTCTTATGTGAAGACTTTGTGTTCTCTATGAAGTAGAAGGACACAGGTCCTGAGCTGGGAATGAGGAGTGGGAAAGGTGGGAGGTTTGAGGAGCGAGGGGTGGATGCAAATAGTCATTATGGAAAGCAGGAGAGTCACAGGGGAGCGTGGAAGATTGCCAAGCCTATATATTGAGGGCCTGGTGAAGGGATGACCATGAGCTTTAGTGGAAGGAAACCTATCAGATGCATTCATTCATTCATTCATTCATTCATTTAGGACCTGTTACTAAGCACCCTACCAGCCATGCACTTACGGGGTGCACAGTCGAGAATGAAACAAACAGGAAGCTTGTCCCTGTGGAGTGCAGGGAGACAAACAAACTCCCCAAGTCAACGGCGTCAGATGTTATGAGATTAGAAAGTTGGTCTAACGTGAGGGGGGATCAGAAATGCCAATCGGAGTGGTTGCAATTTTTAAAAGGGTGGTCAGTCCTTAGTGATTGAGTGTCGACCTATGATCCACGAGGTCACAGTTCTATTTCTGATCAGGGCACATGCCCGAGTTGCGGGCTTAATCCCCAGTGTGGGGCTTGCAGGAGGCAGCCAATCAATGAGTCTCTCTCATCATTGATGTTTCTATTTCTCTCTCTTCCTCTCCCTTCCTCTCTTAAATCAATAAAAAATATATTTAAAAAATAAAAATTCGCCCTAACCGGTTTGACTTGAGTGGATAGAGCTGTCGGCCTGCAGACTGAAGGGTCCCAGGTTCGATTCTTGTCAAGGGCACGTACCTTGGTTGCAGGCTCCTCCCTAGCCCGGGCCCTGGTTGGGGCTCGTGCAGGAGGCAATCAATTGATGTGTTTCTCTCAGATTAATGTTTCTCTCTCTCTTTCCGTCTCTCTTCCACGCTCCCAAAAAATCAATGGAAAAAATATCCTCAGATGAGGATTAAAAATAAATAAATAAAAACAAAAGGGTGGTCAGGATAGAACTCCTTGAAGTGCCTTTGAGTATAAACACTTAGGGAGGCGAGGGAGGCTGGTGATGTGATTTTCCACGGGAGCACTCAGCTGCCCACTGGCCCATGCCCACGGAGAATGTGTGTCCCTGCAGGGATGGAGCTTTATTAGGTGGTTGCACAGGAAGGACAGGGGCAGGGATTTCAGGCTGTTTACAAGAGCTCTCCATCTCCGTGGCACAGAGGAAAACGGTCAGGCAGGTCCATGTCCAGGGCATGTGAAGCTTCAGAGAGCACTTGCTGACAGCCGGGAGGCCACCTGGAGTCGGGAGGGAGAAGGGCGGGGTCTGGGGAAGAGGTGAGGCCATTTCAACTCTGTCTTTCCACAGCCACAGGGCTCCTGCACAAGGCTGTGGTGAGCGGGGACAGCAGAGCACATCTGGTAGAGGAGATCCAGCTGTTCCCTGAGCCTGAGCCTGTTCGCAACCTGCAGCTGGCCCCAACCCAGGTGAGGAGGGACCTACTCAGGGGGCGGGCCGGAGGTGCTGGGGCCTTGCTAGGTGTGCGGGCCGCACCCTGACACTCTCCGTCGCTCTTGCAGGGTGCGCTGTTTGTCGGCTTCTCGGGAGGTGTCGTCAGGGTTCCCCGAGCCAACTGTAGTGTCTATGAGAGCTGTGTGGACTGTGTCCTTGCCCGGGACCCCCACTGTGCCTGGGACCCTGAGTCCGGACTCTGCCGCCTCCTGCCCACCTCCATGCCGTGAGTGCCAGTCCCGGATGGTGCCAGGACCCTTTCTACCCAGCTCGTGCCCCTGTTCTTCCTCTCTTTAGGGGCTACTGACACAGTCCCTCCGAGATCCCCCTCCTCCCGGGGGCTCCTCCAGGGACAGGTTGCACCCAGCAGTTTAGAAGCTGCTCCAGCATCCTGGGTCTCTGCTCTATCTCATGTGTTCCCCACCCTCACCCCCAACTTCTTTCCCACTTATCCCTCCCTGCTTTTCCCACTTTTGTCTTCAAGGATGATTTTTTATTTCCTTGCCTTCTCAGGATGTCCTGGAGTCAGGACATGGAGAAAGGGAACCCACAGTGGGCGTGTGCCAATGGCCCCATGGGCAGGAGCCTCCGGCCTCCGAGCCGCCCCCAGATCAGTGAGTGTGGGGCCAGGGGAGGCGCAGAGGCTTGGGGGGGGGGCGGGGACATCTTGGCAGGGCAGGCAATTCTTGCCTCAATATCTTCCCCCAGCATCTGCCTGGCTTGAGAACTGAACCCCCAGAGTTTCGATGGATTTGGGTCTTGGCTATCGGGAGAGGGCACAGGAGTTCTAAGGTGGGATTCGGGATCGAGGGTAAAGTTGGTTTTGGTGTCAGAGTTGGAGTGAGATGGACTGGAAGTCAGGTTCGGGTCCAGATTGGAGATAGGGAGGGGTTAGTTGAGTTTGGGAGTTGAGATGGGAATTGGAGATGTTCACTGGGAGTCCAGACGTGGGTTTAGAGACACTCTCCTCCTTCGTTCTCCCCCACATCCCTTAACTTTTTGCCCCCTTTTCTTCACCTACAGTTAAAGAAGTCCTGGCCGTTCCCAACTCCATCCTGGAGCTCCCCTGCCCCCACCTCTCAGCCCTGGCCTCTTACCGCTGGACTCACGGGACAGCAACAGTCGCAGGAGCCTCTTCCATGGTTTACAACGGCTCCCTCCTGCTGCTACTGCGGGACGGGGAGGGAGGCCTCTACCAGTGCTTGGCCACCGAGAACGGCTTCTCATATCCTGTGGTCTCCTACTGGGTGGACAGCCAAGACCCGCCCCTGGCCCTGGACCCTGAACTGGCCGGCATTCCCCGGGAGCGCATGGAGGCCTCGCTGACCAGGGTCGGTGGTGGGGCCGCGCTGGCTGCCCAGCGGTCCTACTGGCCCCACTTTCTCACTGTCACTGTCCTGCTCGCCTTAGTGCTTTCAGCAGCCCTCATCGTCCTCCTCCTCTCCCGACTGGGGGCGCTCCGAGCCCGGGGCAAGGTCCAGGGCTGTGGGGACCTGCCCCCTGGGGAGAAGGCCCCATTGAGCAGGAAGCAGCACCTCCAACTCCCCAAGGAGCACAGGACCTCCTCCGGTGATATGGACGCCGACAGCAACCACCTGGGCACCGAGGTGGCTTAAACTCTGGGCACAGACTGAGCCGTGGGGTAGTGCCTGGCCGTGCTGACCGGGGTGCCTAGAGCAGTGCGGACCTGACTAGCGGGGAGCAGCACAAAAGATCACCTTCCTCCCTCAAGAGCAGCTTCTCTGCCACTCTGTGCCACCAATAGCACTCCGTGGGCTGGGCACGGTGGCCGGCTCCCCTACAGGATTCCCCTGTGCCAAGCGCATGGGCTCTCAGACGGGGGCTGCCGCAGGCCTGGACCGAGGCTATGATAGGAGGACCTAGAGAGGCTCCTGCAGTTCTGGCCAAGCTGGGACCCCCCAGAAACATACTGATCCAGGAGACCCTAAAGCATCTGGCTGTTCCAGGACCCTGGGGTAACCCACAGACATCCAAGCAACCATCAGCTCGCACGCCGCTCCTGGAGACTCAGTTCTCCCCTCTCCCGAGTGCACCACTGACCACCTACCTTCCTTCCTGCTTCAGGTGGGGGCGGCGGTGGTCTCTTCTGGCCTGGCTAGAATGGCAGTGGTAATCTGAGCCTTGTTCGTGTCTTTACCCTGGCTGACCCTTTGACCTCTGTCCTTTCCCCTTTCCTTTGCTTTGGGATTCAGAAAACTGCCTGTCACAGTTTATTTTTTATTAAAAAGACAAAGCTTCGGCCCTGTGCTGTTTCTGTGGGAGCAGAGTTCTGCAGCGGAGGATGCAGAGCACTGCACGATGTAAGGGGATTAGGCATGGAGGCGTCAGGGGGAGGACGGCCAGGGTTAGGGGGTGATTGTTCCCTGGAGCTCTTCTGCCCTGAGCTCCCCCTCCCTCCGCCAGACCAGCCGGACAGTTCTCTCCTCCACTCCAGCCACTGCTAGAGAGTCAGACTTCGCCTTTCAGGCCAACGCGGTTGCTCAGCTTCAGCTCCTGTCTGCTGGCCAGGCAACACCTGATCCGCCCCTGGGTGATGACTGGCAGGTGTCCCTGCTCAGCCTGCTGTTGCCGTCCCTCACTCCTCCACATTTCTTGTGACTCCAGCTCAGCCCCTCTTTCCCACGGCAGCCCTTGGGTTCACCTTTTGGTGGATGGAATTTATAGAAAGACCATCAGCCTCTCCATCGTGGCTACATCCTTCCCAATATCCAACAAACAGTGCCCTCTCCACGCCCCCACACCACCTTCCCCCTCACCCTCCCTTCACAAAGGCCTATGACCCTCTTCCAACCAGTGCCTCTGCCCTCTTCTCTCTGCAGAGACCCCCAGCATGGCCCCCTCACTTTACCTCGCCCTCAGGTTAACCTCCTCTCTCCCACCCTCAGCTGTGCTGGGTGTTCTAAAAAAATAACCCTCCCCAACTCCGGCATTTGACTCTGCCCTCCACCCTACTTGCGCTCTCTCCCCTTTACCGCCAAACACCAGAGAGGGTAGGTACTGGCTGCCTCCCCCACCCCACCCCCAATGTCACCCTCACCTTTAATCCCCTGTGGTCTGGCTCCCCCCGCCCCCACCTCTCTGCTCAATGACTTTCCACAATTACCCATAAGCAACTGATCTTGACTTACACAGTCTTCACCCTTAATCTTCTCACCACCCTTTCTACTATGGTTTCTTATTTTTGCTTTAGTTTTTTTTAATTGTGATAAAAAGCACACACTATAAAATGTATCCTCTCCACAATTTTTAAATGTGCAATTTTCAGTAGTGTTTACTATAACACATTATTGCATAATGCGTCTGTAGAACGTTCTCATTTTGCAGAACTGAAAGTCTATATCCATTGAGCAACAACTCCCCGTTACCCCTCCTCCCAGCCCTGGACAATCAGCATCCGACCCTGTCTGTGAATTTGACTACTTTAGGTACTTCATTTAGGTGGAATCTATCCTAAAGTCGTCAATATACAGCTGGCTTATTTCACCCACCATAATATCCTCAAGGTTTACCCTGCTGTAGCATGTGACAGGATATCCTTCCCTCTTTGAAGCTGAATAACAGTCATTATATATATATCACATGCTTTTTAGCCGTTAACCTGCTGACGCACATCTGGGTTGTGTCCCATCTTTGCTGTTGTGAACATGCTGCAGTGAACATGGGGTGCAGGCTCCCTTCCAGACCCGGTTCGCTCCTGCACTGGACTTATTCGGCTTCTCTGGCTCTTTTTTCTACCCTGCTAGCTCCTTTGCACCCTCCCATTACCCAACATTTTTACCCTGTGGTTTCACTTTCCAAGCACCCTTTCCAAACTTCCTCTCCTTGACTCGCCAGATGACCTCCAGGCCAAGGGCAATGGGACAGCGTGGGGCAATGGCAAGGGCAGTGGGCCAGGATTGGGCTCCTGGGGAGACTTCATCTGCTTTAAAAAAAAAAAAATAAAACAAACAAACAAACAAACAAACAAAACAAACAGGCATATGCTCTGATTGGGAATCCAACCTTGACCTCCTGGTTCATAGGTCAACACTCAACCACTGAGCTACGCTGGCTGGACTTGTTGTTTTTTAATGGACATTGAGCAATTTTAATCTGAGAGCCCTGAGATGCTTCCTCAGATGGGTTGATTTAGTGTTTCACACAGTGCTGTGCATCTCTTAGATCTACACACACCCTCGTTCACACTTCCCGCTGGGGAACATGATTTCTCTATGGAGCGGAACCCTTTTTTTCTGTATCTCTAGGGGGCAGCATCGGCCTGGTATGCAGTAGATGCTCAATAAGTTTATTTTATTTGTTCAAATATGACATTCCATTCCCTTTTGCGCACTTCCGCCCCTCTTGAGAAGCCGGTCCCTTCCATTTACCCGCAGGTTGCCAGGTCCCATTAAGGTTCTCAAATTTCCCTGTTCTGTCTCATGCCCTTCAGTGACCTTCACACTTGCATGTGAGCTAAGAGGACAACAGCCAACGCGCTGCCCTGCTTGTTGTACTGGGGCTTCCTGACCTGGGATTCGATGCCAGCCCAAGGGCCCTGGGCGGGTGGTTGACAGTGCTGGCTCCTTTACACGTTTTAGATCATATTTTAAATTGCCACCCACTCAGAGAGGCCTTTCCCAACCATCGTATCAGAAAAGCTCTTTGCCCCAATCACGTTCACCCCAGCACCCTGTCTCAGCTTCTGCACAGCACTCATTGTGTCACTGTTCAAAATCGTCTTCATTTATTTAGTTACTTAACCCCCTTTCCTCCCTTCCCCCCACATCATCTCCCCCACTCCAAGAATTTAAACTTCAAGAAAGCGATGGTGTTTTCCCTGGCATTTTGCAAACCCTGGCAAAGAGGCAGTGGGCTCTGAGCTACGCTGGCCGGACTGGACTTCCCCAGTTTTGCCCTAAAGGTCCTTTAACTGATTAGATGAGGCCCACCTACATTATCAAGGTAATCTCTTTGAAAGTCAATTTATTGTAGATGTTAACCACACCTACAAAATTCCATCCCAGTCATGTCCAGTAAGGCTGAGTTGGTTGGAACGGCTGTCTCATAAACCAAAAGGTCAAGGGTTCAATTCCTGGTCAGGGCTCATACCTAGGTTTCAGGATGTGTGCCAGAGGCAACTAGTTGATATTTCTCCTTCACATCAATGTCTCTCTCCCTTCCTTTCTTTCTTTCTTTTTTAAATATATATTTTATTGATTTTTTACAGAGAGGAAGGTAGAGGGATAGAGAGTTAGAAACATTGATGAGAGAGAAACATCAATCAGCTGCTTCCTGCACATCTCCCACTGGGGATGTGTCCGCAACCCAGGAACATGCCCTTGACCGGAATCGAACCCGGGACCCTCCAGTCCGCAGGCCGACGCTCTATCCACTGAGCCAAACCGGTTTCGGCCCTTCCTTTCTTTCTAAAAAAATAGAAATAAATAATATTATTATTAAAAAAATACAATCACAGCAACAGTATTAGTGTTTGAGTAAGTCAGTACTATAGCCTAGCCAAATTGACATAAAGCTATCACACTAAGTTTGAAATCGCCATTAGATTTTTTTGAAAGAACGATTCTTAAAAAGCATATATAAATATATATATTTCAGAGACAAAAGGAGAGGGAGTTCACAATGTTGTACAATCATCACCACTCTCTACTTCCAAACATTTTTATCATCCAAAAATGAAACTGTACAATTAGGTAGTCATTGCCCATTCTTCCTTCCCCCAGGCCCTGACCAGAGGGCTGCTTTATGTCTCTATAGATGTCTATTCTGCATATTTCATATGAATGGAATGATACAATATGTGACTTCTGTATCTGGATTATTTCACTTAACATAATGGTTTCAAGATTCACCCATGTTGTAGTATTTATCAGTACTTTATCACTTTTTATCACTGAATAATATTTCATTGTATATCCCATAGTTTGTTTCTACTTTTTTGCTACTGTAAATAGTGCTGCTATGAACATTCCTATACGAGCTTTTATTTGAACACTTGTTTTTAATTCTTTTGTGTATATATTCAGAGTGAAATCCCTTGGTCATATGGTAATTTTGTTTACTTATTGAGGAAACACCAAACTTTTTCACATCCGATGCACCATTTTACATTCCCACCAGCAAAGTCTGAGGGTTTCAATTCTCCAACTTCTCCATATCCTTGCTAACACTTGTTACTTTCTGGGTTTCTGTTTGTTTGTATGTCAATTATAGCCATCCTAGTGGGTGTGAAATAGGATCTCATGGTTTTGACTCTTATTTCCCTAGTAATTAATGATATTGAGAACCTTTTCATGTGCTTGTTGGCTATTTGTATATCTTTGGAGAAATATCTATTCAAGTCCTTTGCCCATTTTTTAATTGGGTTGTTGTTATTTTGTTGTTGAATTATAGAAATGTCTATTTTGAAATGAATTGACTCTCCACTCCTGGCCTCCCAGCCGCTCATTTAAAGAGCTATTCCTCTTGTTTTAAATCCATGAGTAGGCAAATCGTTTCAGAGTTGAAGCGACCCTTAATGTCATTTAATCCACCTCCAGGATGTCCCTTATTCCTGCATTTTTTGAGTCCCCAAGCTTCAAAATTGGTTGTCTACCTTTCGTCCTTCCTGCTGCACATTGGCCTCTAACTGTTTTGACTCCAAGGATGAGAAAAGCTACACAAAAATTACAGATGAGATTTCAATTTAAGGATTCTAATAGATCCCAAACGCAGGTGACACATTTAGACCTGGATCTTCCAGAAGCAGCGGGTGACTCGATTTGCGCGAATGAGAAAGGACACGCACGCGCCGTAGAGCTGAGGGCATAATGAAGCTAATAAAAGCGTGGCTTCTGCCCGAATTCAAGATGGCCGCCGGGACAGCCCGCCCTCGCCCCGGACTCCAGACACCATTGGTGGAGCTGCCCACCACTCATCCCCGCCTCCCAGAGGGGGCGGAATGACAGCGTCCCAATTTCCGGTTCCGGTTAGTACCAGGAGCCGGGTCGAGATGGAGGAAGATGTACACCGAAGCTGGCAGTCGCCGGGTACCGCGGATAGATTGGGAGCTGCGGCCTAGCGGTCTGGGCGTGGAGTTCGCCTCAGGCGCGGCGGGACCTCCCTGTTCTGAGAAGGTAAGGAGCCGCCGGCTTGGAGCGCCTACGGGCCTGGACCTGTCAAGGAGGCAACGGGTGTCTGTGGTGCCCGGCTGCAGTTCCCTGGGAGCCCACATGCTGTTTTGGGCATGAAGGACGACTCCAAAGGGGCATCTTTTCCTGTCGGAGGAGGATGAGGTTCGCCGACAGCCACAGAAGCATGGCGAGGGGCCTGTCCGAGAACCCAGAGGTGGCTGTGCGGAGGCCAAGTGTAGAAAGGGGGTGTCACATAGACGAGGTGGCGAGAATTGTCACGTGGTGTCTGTGCTGCGGGATCACGTGGGTACCTCTTGAAGACCAAAAGGCTGGGTGGGTATCTCACCTAATCCTAGGAAGATAATCTGAAGGGAGGGGCCAGAGATATCACCAAGGACGTCCTCTAAGGAAATGCATGCATTCGGTGTACATCTTCCTCCACCGTTAATAGGACAGGTGGTCCAGCATGTAAACATACTCACGTTCATGTAGATAGCTCCCACGATCCAGAGCGTTGATGCAGATGCAGTAGGGGACAGAAGAAGGGAGCAAAGATCTTATTTCCAGTTGGGAAGTGGGGATCAGACCCCGTGGGTGTCTTGTCAGGAGTTATAGAAGGTGATTTAATTTGATGGGGGTGGTTGGCAGAAAAGATCTGAATGAGCCTAGTAAACATTTTTAAAAAATACATTTTTATTGATTTGAGAGAGAGAGAAGCATCAACGATGAGAATCATTGACCAGCTGCCTCCTGCACGCCCCCTACTGGGGATGGAGTCCACAATCCAGGCATGTACATACCCTGATTGGGAATCAAACCTCAGGTTGATGCTCAACCACTGAGCCAAGCTGGGCCGGGCAGTAGTAGACATTGAGCCAAGTTCTGGTAACAAGTCTGGAGGGAGTAAGGGCTCCTAACCTAGTCATAAGGATCCTGGACTTTTGGAGTCTTGTAATCATTTTTATATTGCTGATAATCCTTAATATTTAAAGTAATGTCTCTAAAATTCTGACATATTAATCATTCCAGATCTTGTTAAAATGTTGGTTGTTATTCAACAGATCTAGGGTGCATTCTGAAATTCTGTATTTCTCACAAGCTCCCACTGAGGTCCATGCTGCCTGGTCTGTGTACCACTTTAAACAGCAATGATTTAGAGCAACATTGTCCAGTACAGCTTTCTGTAATGATAGAAATGATATTAGCTCATATGAGTTGCATCACACTGTCATACAGTCATGTATCACATAACATTTCAGTCAATGTCAGACCACATATACAACAGTAATCCCATAATATTATAATGGAGCTGAAAATATTCTGTTGCCCAGTGACGTTGTGGTCATCGGAATGTAATGTTTTAGCACAGCACATTTGTGGTGACGCTGGCGTAAACAAACCTGCACTGCCAGTTGTATAAAGATAAAGCACAGACGCCCTAGCTGGTTTGGCTCCGTGGATAGAGCATGGGCCTATGGACTGAGGGGTCCCAGGTTTGATTCCAATCAAGGGCACATGCCTGGATTTCAGGCTCGATCCCCAGTAGGGGGCATGCAGGAGGCAGCCGATCAATGATTCTCTCTCATCATTGATGTTTCTATCTATCCCTCCCTCTCCCTTCCTCTCTGAAATCAATAAAAATGTTTTTAAAAAAGTAAAGCACATACAATTATGTCCATAATACTTGATAATGAACAGTTGTGTTACTGGCTTAGGTATTTGTACACTATACTATACTTTTTTTGTTGTTTTATTCATCTTCGCCCATGGATATTTTTTTCATTAATTTTTTAGAGTCAGTGGAGGGGATGAGGGAGGAGAGAGAGATAAACATCGATGTGAGAAAGACACATGGATTGGTTGCCTCCCGCATGTGCCCCGACCGGGCTGGGAATCAAACCCTTGACCTTTCCGTGCATGTATGGATGCTCTAACCATTGATAATGAACAGTTGTGTTACTGGCTTAGGTATTTGTACACTATACTATACTTTTTTTGTTGTTTTATTCATCTTCGCCCATGGATATTTTTTTCATTAATTTTTTAGAGTCAGTGGAGGGGATGAGGGAGGAGAGAGATAAACATCGATGTGAGAAAGACACATGGATTGGTTGCCTTCCACATGTGCCCTGACCGGGCTGGGAATCAAACCCTCGACCTTTCCGTGCATGTATGGATGCTCTAACCAGGATTAATAAAAAAAGTTTGCTATAATCAGTATGCTGTGTTGTACTGACAGCAGCCCCACCTGTTTCATGTTTGCCAAATCTCTTGATTGCATTATTTTTGCTTGTGCTTGATTTAGTGTTTTATAAATTTAGTGCAGCCTAAGTGTGCAGTGTTTTTAAAGTCTACAATAGTGTACAGTAATGTCCTAGGCCTTCACATTCACTCACTCCTCACTCACTCACCCAGAGTAACTTCAGTCCTGCAAACTCCATTCATAGTAAGTGCCCTATACAGGTGTACCATTTTTTTATTTTTTATACTATATTTAGACTGTACCTTTTCTATGTTTAGATTTACAAATATTTATCATTGTGTTACAGTTGCCCACAGTATTCAGTACAATATGGTAAATGTTTGTAGCCTAGGAGCAACAGACTATACCATTACAGCTGCCAATAGTAGGCTACACAATCTAATTTTGTGTAAATTAACTCTATGATGGGAGAGGAGCTCAAACTTGGACCTCCTGACTACTAGTGTTCTTTCCCCAGCATGGCCTTGCCTTCCAGGTGACATTGCCTTGTCCTGAACTGTAATCTCATCTCAGAACCTAGTGAATAGTCAAGTGTGATTTTTCTACAAAGGAAAGGGGAGTGGAGAGGATGTGTACTGAATCCACCAGTTTGTTCCTTTCCACTGCTGGGCTTGGTAGTGAGGGTTCTGCCTCTGGCATCTCATTTGATGACTTCATAGGAAACACTTCAGCCTTCATATCCAAGCAGTGTTAAAAGATGGGGGAAATTCAGAATTGGAGCCATGTACACAAATAAGGGTCTGGGAAGAGCCATAATGATGTTGGGCTGATTGAGTTGGGAAGGCTAAAGGAGGTATGCATACTGGTATCTGCAAGGAGGAGTTCCCAGAGAGTAAAACAAGAGGTACTGGTTTTGTTATTTGAGCAGGAAGTTTGGCATTTATATAATACTAAAGGCCTGGTGCACGAATTCGTGCATGGGTGGGGCGGCCTGGGCCAGCTGGGGGGAGGGGCTGCTGGAGGTTGGCTGGCCTGCCCCACCCCCGATCAGGGGGGGGGGGCCCATTTGGGGTGGGCCAGCCAGGGGGAGGGGCCACAGGCAGTTGGTCGGCTGGCCCTGCCTCCTGGTCGAACTCCCAGTAGGAGACAGTTTGCATATTAGCCTTTTATTATATAGGAAAAGAGCAGGTTGAGATCCCACCTTTTAGGAGCAGTCCTACTTTTTGAAGGGAACAGGGGTAGATGTAATGAGTCTCTCCTTCAACTGTGGAGGCTTCTCTCTCTGAGGCATGACTCTTAGTAGTTTCTTCTGTCACCATGGCAATAATAAATTAGAATTACCTGCTTCAGCCTTGGAGAGTCCCTTTTCCTTCTGAGAATTTAAAATAGACTGGCCCATGAGCACATCACTCACACACACCCACTAAATAAATACACAAAATAAAAAGAAATAAAATAGACTGGCACATGTCAAATGGAGGAAAGCAGGCATTGGGTCCTGCCTTAGGATTTTCTCATCAGGAGATGTTGGTACTTTGTGATTCAGCTGAAAAATTGAGATGGTGCCCACAAAACCAGGTCCTGGAACAGAACCCTTTGTGGCTCTGCTTCTCTGCCCTGCTGAGCATACAATTTGCATGATCCCTGTAGGAGTCCCTCCTGCTGCATTTGTCCTGTGACAACAATGTGACCGCTCAGTCACTCCGCTCAGTCATTCCACAAGCTCACCGGGAAAGCAGAGGCAGCTCTTGGTTTCTCCAGCACAAAGCTAAGGAATCCATAGGCAGCTGCAGGGCCAGGAGCCTGTGCTTAACCCTTGGGTGCCTGGCAGTCCTGAGGGCATTCATCCTGCTCCACAGTGGGAATGACTTGGCGTTAGACCGAACAGAGTGATCTGTGGCGGAGTAAAAGGCATGGTGCAGTAGAGAACAAATCTTGGCTCATATCCTGCTTTTACCACTGACCAGCTACGTGACCTTGGGTCTGTTCCTTTTAATATAGCTGACCCTGTGTTTCCTTAGCAGAAGCAGCCAGCTGTGCACAGATTAGGTTGTCAGGTTGCATGGGGTAAAAGGTATTCAGTAAATCCTAGTGTCTCTCTTCAACTCTCAATGCTAATGGAAACATGACCTTGGGACCCTGGATGACAAATACTCTGGGGCAGGGGAAACAGTGACCACTTTCTCTCGAAGGGCCTCAAAAGAAGAGATTGCCCTGCTGGACTTGGTGGGGAGGAGGGGCCACTTTTGCCCACAGCAAATGGCACATCAGTGTTTCAGGGGTTCTCCTAGAACCCCACCTCTAACTTATTTTCCACAGTCTAGGGCAGAGGTCCTCAAACTTTTTAGACAGGGGGCCAGTTCACTGTCCCTCAGACATTCCACACATGCGCACTGCGGGCCCGGGACGAGTCGGCTGCTAAGCAGGACAGGCAGCGGCGGCAAAAACACCCAGTGGGCTGGATAAATGTTTTCGGCGGGCCGCAGTTTGAGGACCCCTGATCTAGAGTCTCCATTCTGGCCAACCTAGTTGTTCCAAGCTATTGTTCTTTCCCTTTCGCCGTCTACACGTATTCCTCCGTCATTCAAACTGCTTTGTCCTCCCCCAGGAAGCCTGTGTTGGTTCCGTGTACCTCACCTATGCCTCACCTTGAAGGGAGGCTGTCCCTCAGTTCCCAGGCACTCAGTGTGCACTGCAGGAATCCTGTACTTTCATGAAAGTGACACAGTCCAGCTCAGGGAATACTGAAAAGCTAACCTTGCTTCCCCACTGACTTCCATGGAAAACCAAGAAACGAGTTAGGCCAGTTAGGGCCTTGGCCTGGGGAAAGTGGTGGAAGATGGACTCTGGTTAACCACTTGACATGAGTTTTGCCAAGGCATTAGCACCAGGACTACTTGTGTAGAACTTTTCAACCTCTAGACATGTCCATGTCCTACACAGGAGCACATTACATTGTTACTAAGAATGTGTCCACTATATGACGCCCTTTCATGTGACAGTTCATTTGACAGTTCTTCAGTTGGAAGGTCCCGATTTTATGTAATTACTACATTAGTAGGCTTTTTTAAAAAAAATATATTTTATTGGTTTTTTACAGAGAGGAAGGGAGAGAGATAGAGAGCTAGAAACTTCGATGAGAGAGAAACATCGATCAGCTGCCTCCTGCACATCTCCCACCGGGGATGTGCCCGCAACCCAAGTACATGCCCTAGACCAGAATCGAACCCGGGACCTTTCAGTCCGCAGGCCGACGCTCTATCCACTGAGCCAAACCGGTCTTGGGCCATTAGTAGGCTTTTTAGTTTTGTTTGAAATTTTAAGCAATGGATACACTTAACATGAGAGTCTTGTGTACATTGATTTGCCCTGTATTCCTTTTTAAAAAATATATATATTTATTGATTTCAGAGAGGAAGAGAGAGATAGAAACATCAATGAGAGAGAATCATTGATCGGCTGTCTCCTGCATGCCCCCCATTGGGGACCAAGCCCGCAACCCGGGCATGTGCCCTTGGCCGGAATCGAACCTGGGACTCTATCCACTGGAGCTAAACCAGCAAGGGCTGCCCTGTATTCCTTTTTAAAATTTTTTTATTGATTGATTTTGAGAGAGAGAGAGAGAGAGAAGAAACATTGCTTTAATTGCTTTGATGCATTGGTTGATTCTGTGTGCCCGGGAATAGAATGGATGACACTCTAACCAACTGAGCTACTTGGCCAGGGCTGTATCTGACATCATTCCCCAGAGGGATACTGTGTCTTATTTTTATTTTTTAACACACTGTGAGTTTCTTGAAGGCAGAGTCTTCTGTTACTTGAATCTCCCTTCATTGTACCTGGGACTGAGGGCAGTGATTTCTATGCTTAGGGATGAAAGGGGCCAAACATGTTCTTTACCCTGTAGTTCTCAAGGCTCTTCAGGTGGTTCCTTTCTTTCTCTAGAGCGAGTTATCTAATAACCAGAGAGGACTCTGATCCCTGCCTGTTCCTAATGTTCTACTCTCATTGGAGAGTGGGGAAGTGTGTGTGAGGGGGTGCCCTGTGGTATGAAAGCCCCACTTAGCTTCTTACACACACTTTCTTCTAATGCAGACTGGAGAAAATATAAGTGTAGTGAGGGTGGGCCAGGGGAGCTCAGAGGGGCCCGCACAGAAACCATAGATGAAGTCAGGTGAGTCAGCTGGAAAGGGTGATGAAAGAGGCGCTGTGCTGGGGGTGCGAGGTCAAAGGCAGTGCCTCTTCAGTGGGCCTAGTGCTCAGAAATGGAGCCCTTCCCTCTGCCTTCAGGAACCTCCTCAATGTCACATACTGGCATCCTGTTAGCCCGCTGAGAGGCCTTCCATACTGTCAGGTGGTTGGTTTGTCCATGGCATCCTGAGCTCTGCTTGGGTGAGCCAGAGGAGGAGGAGGAGAATGGGCCATGACACCAGGGCCCAGGCAGAGGCAGAGACCAGAATAGATGATAAACTGGGGCTAGGGAGCTGACATGGGAGTGAAACCAGGGAAGTCACTGAGGTAAGGAAAGGTTTCTGGACTTGGGAACGATGGATAAAGGAGAGAGAAGGGGGCAGTCTCCTAATCTGTGAGGGAACATCCAGAGCCAGACTGAGTTAAGTACCTTGGAAGATGAAGCCTGAGAATGGGGTTTCAGAGTCTAGCCAGGAGGGGAAAGTGTGAACTTCTGAGATCCTTCCTCACATCCCTCCACCCTGCTAAAATCCCCAGGACTTCGGGCACAATGGAAGACAAACGCAACATCCAGATCATTGAGTGGGAACACCTGGACAAGAAGAAGTTCTACGTGTTTGGTGTGGCAATGACAATGATGATCCGGGTCAGCGTCTACCCATTCACCCTCATCCGCACTCGGTTGCAGGTTCAGAAAGGCAAGAGCCTCTACCATGGGACCTTCGATGCTTTCATCAAGATCCTGCGAGCAGATGGTGTGACTGGCCTCTACCGGGGGTTCCTGGTCAACACCTTCACCCTCATCTCGGGCCAGTGCTATGTCACCACTTACGAGCTCACCCGGAAGTTTGTATCTGATTACAGCCAGAGCAACACAGTCAAATCACTTGTGGCTGGTGGCTCGGCCTCTCTCGTGGCCCAGAGCATCACCGTGCCCATTGATGTGGTCTCTCAGCACCTGATGATGCAGCGTAAGGGCGAGAAAGTGGGCCGCTTCCAAGTGCGAGGGAACCCAGAGGGACAAGGAGTAATTGCCTTTGGCCAAACCAAGGACATCATCAGGCAGATCCTGCGGGTCGATGGGCTTCGCGGCTTCTACCGAGGCTATGTGGCTTCACTGCTCACCTACATCCCCAACAGTGCTGTCTGGTGGCCCTTCTATCACTTCTACGCAGGTAAGCAGGGACCCGGGAGAGTGGGGTGTGGGTTTACTAATGTGGCTAAGATACCCTTGTTCTGTACATGTGACAGAGGGAGATTTAATGGGAGAATGGGCCGTTCATTCAGCAAACATTTGATTCAAGAGGATTCAAAGATGAATAATACGTAGTTCTTTCCTTCAGGGAGCTTATATTAAAGTGGGGGGAATCAGACAAGTAGAGTAGATTATTGTAGACCATTGTGCCATGCCAGCACGGCCAAGGGCGAGCCTGATGAGGGACAGTGAAGGATTAAAGAAGACAGACAAAGAGAATACAGTTGGGCTGGGTGGATCTTCCATTCCTGGATGAGGACACAGAAAGGTCCAGCCTCCAAGCCCAGGCTTTATTTATTTTTTAATTATTTTATTAATTTTTTTACAGAGAGGAAGGGAGAGGGATAGAGAGTTAGAAACATCAATGAGAGAGAAACATTGATCAGCTGCCTCCTGCACGCCCCCTACTGGGGATGTGCCCATAGCTAAGGTATATGCTCTTGACTAGAATGGAACCTGGGACCCTTTAGTTCGCAGGCTGAAGCTCTATCCACTGAGCCAAACCAGTTAGGGCCCAGGCTTTATTTTATAGTCAAAGCAAAACAAGGAAGAAGTCAACATGGTTGCAGTGTTGTGAGTTTCACCTTGTTTTGGCAGCACTTGCTGCACCTTCCACAGCCCATTAGCTACCTAGGAAGGAACTAGAGAAGGGCTATAAGGTTAAGTTAATTATGCTCAGAGGGCTCTGCCCTCCAAGCTAGGACTTTTTTGTGGCCCTGCCACAGGTCAGTCAGAGGCTTGACCCTATAGCCGCTCCCTACAGACCATAGAATGTATTCTTTGTGCATTGCAATCAACTAGGGTTAGTGGAATATTGGCAGATAATTGGAAGATAGAAAAGGACAAAATTAAGGGGTATTTGGGATTTGAAGATAAAATTAATGAATAATAGTGAGGTTTTGAGTTGGATGCCTTTCCTCAGCATTGTTAAATTCATGATGTGATATAACCATGAACCTCTGCACTCCTGTATTTTTTGTTCATAACACGTTTTACTTCTTTTTAAGTATTTCCCAGAAATGGGATTACTGTGTTAAAAGATAAGATTTTTGAGAGCCTCAATAAACATTGCCAAATTTCCTTATGAAAGGGCAGAACACATTGCCAAGAGTGTGCCTGCTGCCCTTGACATGGCAGCTCTGGGTAACTAGCAAATTCCATTAGGGCGGTCTGTGCTCACAACCTCCCTAACCCTGCTGCCCTCTAACCCTTGGCAGCGGGCATTCTGTCTTATCCTGTCCGGAACTTTTCTAACCAGATTTTATAAGGACTTCCTAACCTAGAGTCATTTTGTTTCTATGGCACTGTACTTTTATAGTTCTCCTGTTTTTCTGATTGTACCTCTTCTTCCTCCTCCTCCTCCTCCCCTTTTTTCCTTCCTTTTTTCCTCCTTCCTTTTCCCCCTCTATTGCTTTCTCCTTCTTCTTAACTAGCTCACTTTCTTTTTTCCTTTCTGTTTCTTTCTTCTTCTGTTTAACACAAGAGTATCTGGTAAGCCCTGACCAGTTTGGCTCAGTGGATAGAGCGTCGGCCTGCGGACTGAAGGGTCCCCGGTTCGATTCCGGTCAAGGGCATGTACTTTGGTTGCGGGCACATCCCCAGTTAGGGGTGTGCAGGAGGCAGTTGATCGATGTTTCTCTCTCATCAATGTTTCTAACTCTCTACCCTTCTCCCTTCCTCTCTGTAAAAAAATCAATAAAATATATTTAAAAAAAAAGAGTATCTGGTAAAATTCACATCCTGGACTCTTCTGATCCTTTGTGTCAGATTCTGTGGGAATGGAGCCTGGCAATGTCTTTGTCTTTTTTTAAAATATATTTTTATTGACTTCAGAGGGCATGTACTTTGGGTGCGGGCACATCCCCAGTTAGGGGTGTGCAGGAGGCAGTTGATCGATGTTTCTCTCTCATCAATGTTTCTAACTCTCTATCCCTTCTCCCTTCCTCTCTGTAAAAAAATCAATAAAATATATTTTTTAAAAAAGATTATCTGGTAAAATTCACATACCTGGACTCTTCTGATCCTTTGTATCAGATTCTGTGGGAATGGAGCCTGGCAATCTCTTTGTCTTTTTTTAAAATATATTTTTATTGATTTCAGAGAGAAAGAGAGAGGGAGAGATAGAAACATCCACGATGAGAATCATTGATCAGCTGCCTCCTGCATGCCCTTCACCGGGGATCAAGCCTGCAACCTGGGCATGTGCCCTTGACCGGAATTGAACCCGGAACCCTTCAGTCTGCAGGCTGATGCTCTATCCACTGAGCAAAACCAGCCAGGGCGAGCCTGGCACTCTTAATGTTAAAAAAAACTTCCTAGGAAATGTGAGCATGTTCTCTGGAGTCTATCTTCTCCCTTCTCTCTTCATTTGATTTCATTTACAAATGAGTTGTACTTTTCTAGTATGTCCCAAAATCTCTATTTCCATTTCCAGACCAACCTCTCCAGAGCTCTGCTCCGGACAAACATTCTGACTGACCTCTCAACATGGATGCATGTATTTACATCTGAAATTTTACCCTATGAACTATTCTTTTTTCATATATACATATTCTAGTGGCCTGGTGCATGGATTCATGCACATTAAAAGGAAATTAATTAGAAGAAATATTTTAATACTAGAGGCCTGGTACACGAAATTTGTGCACTGGGGGGTGGGGGGGCGTCTCTCAGCCCAGCCTGCACCCTCTCCAATCTGGGACCCCTTGGGGGCTCTATGAACTATTCTTCTTCCCAATTTGGTTTTCCCTTCTGACTTCTTTCTATGTGTCAGTGGTCATGTTATTTTCCAAATTGCTGAGACTGAAGCCTTGGGGATTGAGCTTGGCCACCCCCTTTTCCTTGGCTCCACATCTAGTCCTTGTGACCCCAAAATGTCTTTCCAAACTTTCTCTCCATTCCTG